CTGCGGAATGGAAGCTGTCGAAAGTGATTTCACTTCTGAAAAAGCAGGAAAAAGGATTCGCCTTGGACAATGTATGGCCGATATCACTCACGTCAAATCTGGTTAAGCTAATTGAAAGAGTTTTGAATGCCCGGGTAATAAAATATATTATTAATAACGCAATATTAGGCCCCAGTCAAATTGGTTTTAGATCTGGTTGCTCAATATGGTGTGCGCATGTTGATTTAGAGAGCCGAATACAACTGGCTCGGCGTCGGCGCCAATACTGTGCTTTAGTTACTCTAGATTTGGCTAAAGCGTACGATAGGGTTGAGCATTCAATTTTATTAAAACAGATGGAAGATCACCACTTTCCCAACTACATCACTGCGTGGGTGTCGGAGTTTTTAAGAGGGAGAGAATATTGCTGCTTTAAAGATGGGTACTCATCTAATAGATATAAGCAGACACGTGGCGTACCACAGGGGGCTGTCCTGTCGCCAGTTTTATTTAACATTTTCTTAAGCTCCATTCCATCAACTAAGGATATTCAGTTATATGTGCACGCGGACGATATTGCTTTCTTTGCAAGCAATACCGACCTTCAATCATTATACCAGAGTCTACAAAATTATATCAATATGATAGAAAGATGGCTTAAAAATATTCATATGACCCTGAACGTAAAAAAAAGTGTGCTTCTTGCATTCTCTTTTCTGCAGCCTATCAACATCTCGTTAATGTACAGTAATGAGCTCATTCCGCAGGCGACTTCCCTTAAATATTTGGGCATCATATATAATGACACATTAAATTGGAGAAGTCACATTGATGATGTGTACTCCAAGGCAACACGGGCCATGGGGTGGCTACGGAAGCTTGCAAACCGTAAAGCGGGTTTTAGAAGAGATGTGCTAATAATGATATATAAACTTTATGTGCGGCCCATCATGGAATTCGGATGTGTATTATTTTCTGGCAGCGCAGCTTATAAAATGAGACCCCCATTACTACTGGAAAGAGAAGCGTTGCGTTTGTGTCTGGGTCTACCAAAGTTTGTTGCAAATAACGTGTTGTATATGGAAGCTCGCCTACCTTCTCTGCTGAATAGGTTTAAAATTCTTACTGTGCAAGCATTCTTAAAGATATACAGTTCACAACAAAGAATCTCATTTTACGCTTTCATTCAAGAACCGACTTTATTTTTCGAAACCCATTATTCGCGACTACACACCCCGCAAATAGTATTTGCACAAGCGCTACTAAAGCAACTGAATGTAAAAATTAGACATATTGGTCCAATACACAGCCTAAAGTCAATGCTTTGCATACAATTCGATGATATATTTCCTCATAACGCGAAACAATTGGCATATAGGTATTTAAATGACCAGTTAGCAGATTATCTAGCTCACCTAGAGATAAGCAATATCATAGTGACTGATGCATCTGTGTCAAAAGAAAAGGCTGGGGTTGGCATCTTCTCTCCTTCTTTGGACTGGTCCTTTTCGATTCGACTCCCAGATTATACCCCGGTATTCATAGCAGAATTATTGGCCATTGTTCTTGCCCTACGCAAATTACCCTCAAGCGAATCATTAGCAGTTATCATTACAGATTCGTTATCAGTTTGTAATGCACTTTCTGCGGCAGTAAATTCAGAGCTGATGAATACGTTTCGGCATTTAGTACCGAAAAACGTAAAAAAACTGCATTTGCTATGGGTACCAGGCCACCGCGGATCATATTTGAACGAAATGGCGGACTCTTTAGCAGCAGTATCCTTGGGTGGCCCCACCATCCCAGTATTGCCAGATACGGCTTACGTAACCGCGCTAAGGTTCCGAAATGCTTGCCTGCAATGGGGAAAAGGTAATTTGGATAAATTCAAACTTTTCGAGCATTTGAGCTATTGCTGGAATAAACAGTGGTGTGTATCTCGCCAGTTAGAGGTCACTTATACCAAATTGCGCTGTGCAGTTCCACAACTAAATTATTACCTTAACAAAGCTTGGCTCAAGGCGTCACCGCTATGCATTTGGTGCAACGAAATTGAAACAATTGAACATTTCTTTTTATTCTGTCATCGTTATTCTTATCAGAGAAAAAGATTTTTAGTAGCCCCATTACAAAAGCTAGGACTACAAGTAAATCTACCAGTAATTTTATCAATTGGCGGAACTTCATTTGGTTACTGCCACAGGGATGTATGCTCCACTGTGTTTGATTACATCAACGCAACTGAAAGATTACCATGCTAGTGATCCCCTACCTTTTCAGATCTTTAGTTTATAATTCGTAGTTATGTCTTTCAAAAACAAAAGATGGTTTGACCGCTTTCTCAGCAAACCTTTTTGTTTTTTGGTAGTTTTATTTTAAGCTACCTTTTCAGATTGGCTTCATTTTCATTTTAGTTTCATTTAAGTATCCTGCCGCCCGGTTCTTGGCCCATCTCCCTTAGTGGGTAAGCGCCATTCATCTGAGGTCATCAGCATCAGCATCAGTATGAGCCAGGCCACGTCTCCCGCATCTAGCGTCACACGAGTCGACAGGATGAAGACCCGCCAGCCCCTTCATCAGTCGCTCATCATCTACGCAGTCCTCCGCATGACACCCAGAGCATACATGGACTACCGTACATGCGCCTAGCATTACGCATCGACCAGCATCATGTCAGAAGCCTCTACTGACCTTCCCATCTCCAAGTACACCGGAGAAACGGACGATGGACCCGTACAAGACTGGTTCGAGTTCCACGCTACCGCTGCATCTTGGTCGGAACGGGAGATGGTTACGAACTGCAGTGACTACGTTACCGGTGAGGCATTTAAATTCAACCTCACCCATATATTCGACAACGATGAGTCTTGACAAAAGATAAAACAAGAAATGATCGTTTAGTTTAAAAAACACGATGACGACTACGACGAAAACTTGCTTGTAATCCACCATCCACACACAACTGCACTCAGTCGTCAATTTTACAGGCAGTCTTCAACAATTCGAACGCACAACAAGATTCGACCTCTGACAAAAGACGAAGTGGCACACGAGTTCAGTGGCAGACGACAACGCGTATTTTGGGAAAAACAGAGCCATCGAGCGCGCCTCCCTTCTGCACGAAAGTCGGCATTTGCGAAGCCATCGCTTCAGTATATGACCCCAGACGTTGCCCAACCACCTGATGCCATTCACTCTCCGTCTGGCATACGTTGTCCACCACCTGGGTTTTCATCACGTGGTTCTTCAAGCGCTCCTAACGCTCACCACTTGCCTAATAAGGACGCCTTGCTCATGGTAGACCAGCTGACGCATGAAGAAAATACCGAACAACGTCATGACTACTCGAAGAGTTAAAATCCTGGTTTTACATCACTTCGCTCTTTCGTAGTTCACAACACCCACCTTGCGTCTCACACGCCCACTACGGTCGGGATAGAGCTTCGGAACTCCGAATATACTCAGCCAAGTCCAGGGCCAACCGTCCACATTCATGCGTCAGAACAGCTTACCTCCAAAGTTGCGGACACAGAGAAACAGCTCCAAGTAAAATCTGACCAAAGCAAGCCTCTTGCAGCATCACCGTCGAGTTCACAGCAACCCGAGAGCCCAACCAACACAGGAGGCTCGGAAATATCAACTCCGAAGCTCTGCCCTGTGCCATGAACGCCCATCAAGAATGGCGTCGCAACAGCCTCAGCAGATTTTTCTGCCAATTCTGGCGCACTATCTTCATTGCCTGACTCAAATCGCGACACCCTAACAAGTATCAACTATTTGCTGGTCACGTCAACCTACAAAGAAAAGCGGGCTCATGGTTCCAAAGGAAGTTCACCTCGTCAGACAGTGCAACATCAGCAATGTCAACAAAAGTAACAAAAGGAACCCCAACAGCTAAAACGCCCACACCAACATCGGCAACGAACAATTAAAACTACATCGCGAGGATACTTGCGGCCTGAAGAGTGTCGTGATCAACATACACTAAAGAAAATACTGATTCCGCATCTGAGCTACCTTCGCAGAAAGAAAAGCCAAGGAACTTTTCCGCACCAGCGTTCAAGATTGCGCCTTCGGTCTGAACATCTGCGTCATCACCATAGTAAACTCCCCAAGAGCCACAAAACAACCACTTGTGCTCTGCAGGAACACAAACAGCGCCTAATCAGCCACAATCAACGGGCACGCAAATTGCATGCACGGCGTTTGTATGACCTACGACGAAAAATGCAACGCCAACGAAATATTCAATCCTGCAAAGTGTTCCAACCTCGTTCGTTATTTGCAAGAATACCGGCTCTATTTCCATCTGTTTCCACGTCCAAAGCATTTTTGTGTTATCCAGGACGCAACCACCAGCATCGCCCACTAGAACTCCTGCGTTAACCGGACTGCTGCACTTTCCCCTGAAGTCTTTAAAAGTTTGCGGAACTCCCCTAGAGCATAGAACCAATTGTGAATTTTGACGTTTGTAACTTTTTAACCTCCACTTGTTTACTTTTTCTTGTTTGTAATCTATGCCTTCTTTCGGGGGTAGGGGGAATCATGTGACGTATGAAGTGATGGTTGGTAGAAGCTGAGAAGGAAGAAGTGAGATTAGAGTAAACATGGGTATGAGCTAGGCCACGTCACCCATTCATCACAGCGTCATATATATATATATATATATATATATATATATATATATATATATATATATATATATATATATATATATATAGGTGAAAGAGGTGCATACCTAAGGGCTCGTTGTTCGTGTTTTGACACAATATTACTGAGATCTAACCGAAAATATTGCCAGAACCAGTGTAATGTAAATAAGAACAAAGAAATGTGGCTGAAAAAATAACCTGCCGGCGGGAGCAGAAATCAAACCTACCTACGACCGTCGAATAATGCGTTCGATGGTATATATCTATATATATATATATATATATATATATATATATATATATATATATATATATATCTAGTATTCTCAAGGACGATGTGCGGTTTAAGCGTAGAACAAATGTACGTACCAAATGATCCTTTGCAGGTCCACGCGTTTAACACCAAGAGGACTACAGCAAGACGCAGTATAATAAAAATGTGTGAGTTGGACGCCATCTTTCCTTAATCTTTACAAGATTCAGGCCGCAGAACCGTTTTATATAGGCTGATCATGCGACAAATGTTCTTTCTGTCATCCCGCAAACAGCAGAATATTGTGATGCGTCAGCTGATGTCGTATCAAAAATAGTTCTATATGCTGTGAATCCGACTAAGTTTTCTAAAAAAATAAAAGCCTGCCCTACGCTAGTATTATTCCTTTGCCATCCTGCGTCTTACAATGTCAGGTATTTCTTATCCCGCAAACACAATGCGTAGATGAAACGCCGAATGATGGCTGACAGCAACAAAAAGAATTCTATAGAAATATAACGAAAACAACAGAGCATATCTTGTATTGAATTTTTTTTTTCGTACCGTAATTATACAGTGCTTAACGAAGTCTGGAAAAATCGTACCATGTATTGGTTCCTCGCTTTTCAAAAGATGGCCAAGAGGTGTCGTCGATTCACTTCATAACTATAATTACACAACGAAACACTTACCATTTGCATCCCTACATTCGCATGTATTCGCACAATAGGAAGGACGGAAATAACTTTATTCTTACATATGCTATGGAGGTTCAAAGGCTTTCTTTAAGGTGCACGTATCAGGAGTTCGTGAATATAACAAAAAAGTTATGTCAGCATTGCACTGTGAATTCCAATCCGAAGAAATTGCGGATCTTGGAGCCACATTTGTTCTTTTCTTCTGAGTTAATTTCCAGTATTTTTTTGAATTTGCGGTTTTTAGACGTGCTGTTTTCTCGGGTACTAAATAAAAAGGGTGCCCCAGCTTTCTTTACCTAAGTTTAGGAATACGCTGGTACACTAAATAACGATGCAATCAATGGCATGTCTCTGACTGTTGCCTGGAGTAGTCAGACTATTCTTGTGTTCTATTGTGATGTCTAATTAGGTCACTTTTCATCATCAAGTTTTTAATCAAGAAGAACAGGGCGGGAATTTCGACGAGAACGTTGTTCATCGGTTTGCATAACGTGCGACTAGGCAGTTTCGAGCTTTATGTCTGTTCATTTGTAGTGTCTTTTTGCTTACTATTAATGCCCACGAAATACAAAAAGGTACCTCGCGGACGCTGTTTAGCTTGGTAATTATCAAAGCGACAGAAGCTTGCGGAAGTCGAACGCGTCATTCAGGCTAACTGCGTAGTTGATTTCACGTTGTGGGTGACCGGCAGCAGCGACGTCCCCGTGAAGGGCGCGCTTAGCCTCGCCATGGGCACGACCAGACGAAGCCTAGACGGAAGTATGCTAATCATAATGACGCTTGACAACGTGATCACCAATATAGGTAAAATAAGAAATGTGTGCATAGTCACCGACGAGTACGGTAGAAACAGTGACACCATCACCCATGTCACAGCGATGGTGGCCAACGGGACGTGGCTCCACCCAACGACTCACGTTGCGTAAGGCAGACCTGTATAGACCGTAATCATTATCATCTCTATCACCCTGACTATGTTCACTGCAGGACAAAGGCCTCCCCCTTGATGCACATGTAAAGTCAGTCCTGTGATTGCTGCTGCCACTTCATACCCGCAAGCTTCCTACTCTTATTTGACCTTTCTGTTTTCTCCTTACCCACTTGCCTTCTCCGGGAATCCAGTCAGTTGTCTTTAATGACCAGTGATTATTCTGCCGGCGCGTTACGTGCCCAGCCTGTGCTCCTTTCTTCTTCTCACACAGTCATGATTGATTTGATTTGTGGGGTTTAACGTCCCAAAACCACCATTTGATTATGAGAGACGCCGTAGTGGAGGGCTCCGGAAATTTTGACCACCTGGGGTTCTTTAACGTGCACCCAAATTTGAGTACACGGGCCTACAACATTTCCGCCTCCATCGGAAATGCAGCCGCTGCAGCCGGGAATCCACACAGTCATGTCCTTGCCCTTGCAAACTCATTGCATTCTCCATTCAAGACCACGGCTGTGCCGTGAGGCCACTGCAAGGTTCAAGACTATTATTACAGAGAGAATCTCTCTCAGTCTCACAAAAACTGTTTGCAGCAGACACATCTGCCCATGGATTGCACCTATTTCAATCAAACTCCATATCTTTACTTCTGGCCAGCCCGCCACTGCAGCAAATCTTCATATTCAAGTTCTCCCTGTGTTTTCTTTTCGACACTTTCAACCTCACGTCGCTCTTGGTTTTCACCCGTGACTTGTTTTGTTCGCCGCTGTCAACCTGCTGCATTGCTAATAGAAACAAGTAACTCCGGTTTCTTGTTTATAGTCGCTTTTTCTCTCAACAATTTAATAAAATCACGCTCATCTACTTCTTTAGCATTCTCCGCCTGCTCTATTACAGTCACCCGTGACTTAGCGCCTTATTCTCTTAATCTCTTTTTCTCCAGGCGGTAAAGCTCAATAACGCCTGCCTGAGACAAACCTGCGGCTTGTCCAGCCGGCAGTAAACGTTCAAGGTTAATCCCGCTGCTCAAAAGCGCCAAGGTCGCGTGAGGAAGTTAAATAAATCCTGGACAGATTCGCCAATGTTGTCACTAAATCATCCGGCAAGATTTCGTTGAGCCTGAGGAATGGACGCAAGAAAGGGACACAGGTGTGTGGTATAAAAACACGACCTCCAATGCACACACACACAGATACAAAAATATTTACAGAGAGAAGAATTAAGCCACCAATAAACAGTTCAACAAAACACAACAACTACCAAATCCTACCCTAGCCACGTCCTACGCACGGTCCTATATTCACAAGCAGTGGTTTACGTGTCTTAGACAAACGGCATGTAAGGTGTCGGCCGCTAACGATAAATATCAGTCGGAATGACACCTTAACGTAGCTCACCGCGTGCGTCAGCGCTTGTTGTTGTTATGGTGTGGAAAGACACCCTGCTAACGCTCCGAAGTGTGACGACGTCGTTCTCATGCGGTCGTTGTACTGGTGCTGGCAGGCACTTCTGGCACGTCCCAGGCCCCTCTCGCACGTGCACTGTGGACGTTGGCAGACGGGTGCCTGCAAGCCCTGGCTCATTGAAGGTCAGGGCTGTGATGTGGACCTGTCCAGGCCGCTCACTATACACCCCCCGCCAGCAGGACGACCGGAGCCACGAAGACAGTAGCTCGCCGTGGGTGGATTTCAGGTGGCTCTCGACGTGTTGCAGTCCTCGGCCAGAACCCAGGCAGCCTCGAAAATCTGCCATATTCTCCATCGTCTGCGCCAAGCTTCTCTCGTGCGCGCGCTGTTCTAGTCTTCTGTGCTCGTGCGCAGTATTTTTTCACTTTGTTGTCTTGAGTTTCGTGCATCTTTCTTTTTTAAATGCCATTTTTCTTGTCATCCTTGACAGCTACTCTCATTAACGTTTATTCCTAAGTCTTCCCATTAGGGCTTCTGAAAACCCCATGTAAGTACGAGGTAAATACCAGTGGGGAGATTGTATCCCCCCTGTCTTACAGCCTTCTTGACTTGTATTCTGTCACTTACTTTGTGGAGCAGTATGCTGGCAGTTTATTCTCTGGAGGTTTCTTCCAGGTTGTTTATATATGCTTTATATATGCTGATAATTCTACTGAATCAAATGCCTTCTTGCAATCAATGGAAGCTATGTATAGTGGATGGATGTACTCTGAGCATTTCCCTATTACCTGACTCATAGTATGAATGTGGTCGATTGTTAAGTAGCCTGTTCAAAATCCTGCTTGTTTTTGATTGATTGAATTCTAATGTTGTCTTATTCGGTTAGCAATTACTTTAATTGCTTGTATATGACAGATAGCAAGCTGATCGTCCTGTTTTCTTGAAGTCCTTATCTTTTTTTCTTGTGTATTAGGATGATATTAGCATTCTTCCAACACTCTGGTACCCTTTCCATCAGCAGATACTTCGTAAAGAGGGTGGCCAGTTCTTCTTACACAATCCACCCTGCGTTGTTTTGCAGATCTGATGTGACCCAATCCTCACCAGCAGCTTTGTCTCTTTGCATTCCCAGCAAGGCTTTTTTCGCTTCTGCCATTAATGGTGAAATGTCACCTGGGTTACGGCGAGTTCTTATATTATGATTGTGCTTGTCCCGGCTACTGTACAGATCGCTGTAAATTTCCTTTGTTATTTTAACTAGTGTATCCATATTGGTATTTACTTTGCCTTTCTTGTGCCTTAGGGCATCACCTGGTTTTTGCCTACACCAAGTTTCCTCTTCACCACTTTGACGCTTTCTTTATTCTTTAGAGTGTGCTTTACTCTCTCCATCTTATACTTTCTTACATCAGATACCTTAAGCTTTTTAATCAACTTCGAGAGCTCTGCCAGTTCTATTTTGTCGTTTGTGTTCGAAGCTTTAATGCTTTCACGCTTCTTAATGCGACTGTTCATCTCCGGGGACCCATTTCATCTACCGTTCGTCCCACTTCCACTGCACACTTCGTAGTTAGACTCGTTAGAGTAACATTCGTTGCGGCAACGCTAAAGCACGTTTCCTCGGTAAGAGCTTAGTATCTGTTCTGAAGAGAGACCCTGAATTCCTGTACTTTCCATCTCAGTGCTAGCTCATTACTTTGCTTCTAGCGTGTCAGTTTATGTCGTTCCTTCTTCAAGTCGAGGCAAATTCGAGACCTCACCATTGTATAGTCGCTGTATTGTACCTTGCCAAGCACTTCCGCATTCTGCACGATGTCTGGGTGTGCACTCAGCACAAAGTCTATCCCGTTCTCACTTTCGCCATTAGGGATCCTTCGTGCCCATACACGGTTTTCTCGTTTTCGATAAAGGGTTTCAAGATGCGTAAACTATTGCGTTCTGAGAATTCTACTAATAACTCCGCTCTGGCATTTCTAGTACCAATTTCATAAACTCCTACTGCCTGGTCTCCAGCCTGCTTCTTCCGTACCTTGGAATTGAAGCCATCCATCAGTATTATATACTGTGTTTTTAACTTACTCATTGCCGATTCCACGTCTTCGTAGAAGCTTTCGGCTAGTGTGTCATCAATGCTGGATGTGGGCGCGTAAGCCGGTACCATCTTCATGTTGTATAACTTATTGAGTTTAATTACAATACGTACCACCCTTCCATTATTTCTATAGTATTTCTCTATGTTATCGGCTACATATCTGTGGATAAGGAACACCACGCCGAGTTT